CTTACTACACGCACTGTCAAGAGTCAATTTCTGGACCGGCTTCCGCCCAGGCCAGCTAAGGCTTTCCCTGCGGGGCGGTAAATTGTAGGAACACTTGCTTGCACATCGGCTGGCCCCATCAAGTCATTGCATAAGCCACATCGCATTCACTGAGCCACTGTGCTGCATCTCCAAAAGGGATCAGCTGCGAAAGCTTCATCCCTTCGTTGGAATAGAGCAGAATCAAGAATAGTTCCTATCTTGTACTTTTGAGCCTATTACAAAACACTCAGCTCTACAGTATTAGCACATTGCTAGCCAGAAGAATTGTTTTACAAACTGAGCCTTCTTCCCTTCAGGGTCCTCTAGCTGTTCGCCTTGCCAAGATTGCAATCGACACTGGATCAGGAATGGATTTGAGTAGTGGCCTTGTTGTAGAACAGCAGTGCTATGCCCAGGTGAGAAGTTTCTTTCAAACGAGTGACCATTCCTTTATTACATCATATTATTCCCGTATTTTTCTCGCTTTTCCCCCTGCTACTATCAGTCGAAGGATAATATCAATTAGAACATCCTTGTTTAGGTGATACCCACACAGGATCGACTCGAAGGCTTGCGGGCTTTTGCTGAGAAACGTTCCCCTGTTTACAAGGGAGAGTGAGAATGGCTCACGTTCTAGAGACAGATTGTCAAGTTTCACTTCAGTAGTCATGATTAATGCTCAAACCGTGTATAATTTCCTAGGATGAAATAAAATATTTTATCTACGATGTGCGTTCCTTAATGAGAGGTATGTCACCAGCTTTCTGTCTCGCTTCGTATTGTTGCTTTGTTCCTAATAAATAGACTGCGTGTTATGGGCAGCAATGCGGCTGTCGGTTCTGCGGTTCAAATGGGACGTCATGGTTTCCGTAGCGCTTTCTCGTCCACAAGTTATAGCTCCGCCCATGACTGAAATAGAGAGAAGGTACGTAATCGTTAAGTGTTGTTATAGCCGCTCGATAGTAATAACTGACAAGTTAGCTTCTGAAAAGAGCCCTTAGAAGCTGCCAAGATCCACGTAGGTTACGCGTCTTCGTTCAGGTTTCATTCGCTGCAGATGGAAGAGGAACGGGAAAAGAGCCTGTTGTGTGATTTTGAATTGAAATCGCGACACGACGAGAAGTATGTGGTTATTTGCCTATCAATACGTTGCATACTTTCAAATAATTTTGAATGTCACAGGCTTCTTGAAAAACGTGCTGAATTGGAGCGTGAAGGAAAGGAGTTGTCAGAACTAGATGAACAGATGGGACTTGCCAATTCGATAATTCAAGACGAGTGGAATAGGAAAGGAGAGCAGTTGGTGAAAAGGTAGACTTCCCGGGACACTAATTCTCATTTTCACCCTTCATTTTCCACTTCGACATTTCAGTCTTCAACTCGACAACCCCCGCTCACGTGAAGTCAACGATGAACGGTCCTTAGAACGTATGTTGGATCGAAAGCTTTTACTGATTGTTCGACAACGGTTTGGACAAGAAAATTACAAAAGTCCGTGGATCCTCCCTCAGTTGAAACATGAGTCTGGAGAGACCTTACGAGAGGTCAGTTGATTGTATACAAATTTCAAGTGATTCATATTGCATTTCAGTGATTCATATTGCAACACTGATTAGTTGTGAATCTTTTGTGGTAAATTTTCCGAGATGTGAGGGGGAGGAGATTTCCCGAGAAAGAGGGGCATTTACATAAGAAGTCCATCTTTGCGTTCGCACATAAACGTCGGTGCAGTAGATTCTGGCGCATTTGTAATGTAATGCAAATCCACCTAAGTGAGACCATCAAACATCACTCCATCGCCAGCGCTCATCACGTTCCACTTATTCATACCATCCCAAGGTTGGGCTTGAGGATTTGAAACAGTTTAAGTCGACTGCTTCGCGCTGTATTCGTCTTTTGAACAATTCCCTAGAGAAAGCACTAGTTATAGCGCGGGAGGGGAGGGGAGCGTGAGTGTCATCTAACTATTAAAGTATCAAGTATAGGACTTAGTGTTCTGACTCTTACTTCTGGCTGAATTTGACTGCAGTAAGTAACACTTAATCTTAAAGACAGCTCCCGCGATAAAAGTGTCATGGATAGCTGCTTTTCAATTATGAGATACTAGCTGATATGAAACAGCAGCTGATAAGTAATCTCCCAAAGAAGAAAACAGGCAAGAAGCGTCCTCCAGAACAACATAAACAAAATCGCTCCCTCACAGTCACACCTCCCTGCGGTCTCTGTGCAACCCCTAGCTCACAAATCTCTCTATCACATCTCGCAGTAGTTGATATCATCCAGTGCAAAAAAAGAATACAAAAAAACAACAAAAACGCAGAGGAAAAACTCTTGGAAGGAAAAAGAAATTTTAAAAACTCGGTGTCCGAATTTGGGATTACGGTAGCACATTTTAGTGTAGTGAAGTGCGCCGAGCTTTTGCACCACGAAAATTGCGTCACTCGTGATTTTTACGCGTTTCACCTTGCGAAATGGGTTGAGTTGAATGTATATGCCCCCATGAGTAAACTGTAATAAAGGAGAGCAGAATTATCCATGGGCACGAGTGCGGTCAGCAAAAAGGACATGCAATTCCGATTAATGCCCGCCGCCCCAACTAAGAACAACTGAGTGGCCTCCGTCGGAGGGCATCTAGCAAGTAAGGCGGTCCAACTGAGCAGGCGTTAGAACTAGAACTTTCAGCGGCTGTAGCTCGCTCCTCGCTCGCTGTGGAGTCGAATAGAGTGGGACAGTCTCTAGCTTGGGGGCTGTACTACTTGCACAAGGAAGGACGACCATGTACTACTCGAGCGCGGGGCTGTCTTTAAGCTAAAACTCTAGACTCAGCCCGCAGCTAGTACTAGCTTTTTTCGAGTCGTAACTACTTGCCCAACTTAACTTCAAGGTTGTTCTAAACTTCGTTTTCTTACTTTGATACTGCGTTCTGTGTTCATTCCTTCTCCTAGGAAGGAGTTGGTAGAAGCTTTTCTCAAATCACCGCAAATTTCAGACTGCCGAACGTTGCCTGAGGCAAGTCGCGAATGATATCAAAGCATCCTTCTACGGGAATGCCCCATTTGCCGTCTTCTCTCACAAGTTCGTTAATTTTGAGTTGTAAATCACTCGCATGTCCTCTACTTCATCGTCTTGGTAGTCCGCGAAAAAATTTTATTTCTCTAATTTTTGTATCTTTAGAGAGGTTGTGATTTTTAGCATTCAGACGGAACATCGTTTTGCAGATATCCTAAGCCACTCAGCCAGCGATTGGAGAAGGATGGAGCGAAAATCTTCTTTTTAAACGCTGTTCTAGATCTAGCAGTTCGTTTACACCGAATAAGGAAGAGGTACGCACCGATAATTACTCCTTCAGTGCATCTGTAGATGCTAATGCAGAAACGTGGTTTCCCCCGTAGCTTTTCTTGCAATTCACCAGCCGTGTAATTTGCAGTGGGTTCCACAGAAACTAGATCTTGCTCTTGTATAATACCTTTTCTGCTCTGTTCAAGCTTTTTTGATTTCTCTAATCGGTCTCAGTCTTCATCCATTAGAAAGCCGCTACACTGTACTTTGAACGATAACATGTTATGGGTAGCATGACTCGCAAATGAGAAGGAGCTTGAATAATCAGACAGCTCAGCAGTTAAGGTTGCAGGCTGAACTGACTGATGATAATAGGCAGTAGTATTCGAGTTTGTGCCTTAAACCATTGAGCCGAATGTGCCTAAACCATTGGGCCGAACGTGCGCCTTCACACGTCCAGCCGTATGCATCTCATTCTGTACGTCCGGACTTGCTTGTAGACCTTTTCTGGCGAAAAATCTCTGAACAGCGACTATTTCTAGTCCCTAATGTATCCCTCAAAAATGATAGGATTGGCGATTGATGCCAACTGGAAAGGAGATTGACGAATTCTCTTCGTCATAACAGTCGCCGTAGTTCTGAAAGAGACTTCTAGAAGCTGTCCGAGGGATGGGCACTTATCGACAGTGATTACCATGTGTACGGGAGGGGGTCTTGCTCAATTAAATAATTGAGAGTGGGATTTTGTTGGAAGCGTCTCAGGGTTTTTGGTTCAGCCTGATATCTTCGGAATGACCCTCGAACGAGCTTCATACCGGAATTGACATCCTTCCCACGACTCTGAATCGATTATAACTAGTTTGCGTGTGGACAGGTGAAAAATTGGTATGGCTGCGTTTATACTTTGCGGCAGCGTAGCGTAGCGCTTCCAGCGTACGCCAGCGGCAGTGCCGGGGAGAGGATGCATATCGATCTAGCGTTCCCAGCGTCACCAGCGTAACGCTAGCGTACGCTAGCGTTACGCCAGCGTTTCTCCAGCGTTTCACCAGCGTTTTGCTAGCGTTTGCAGCGGCAGGGGAGTAGAGACTATGGGAGAGCTGGAGGGGTTTTATAAAAACACATCGATTGCGCGTCTCTCACTCGCCCTCAGTCTCTACTATACACATCGATTGCGCGTCTCTTACGGCCACATAGTCTCTACAATACACTTCGATTGCGCGTCTCTTACGTCCCATAGTCTCTACTGCCGCTGCAAACGCCAGCAAAACGCTGGTGAAACGCTGGTGAAAGCGCTAGCGTTAGCGCTAGCGTTACGCTGGTGACGCTGGGAACGCTAGATCGATATGCATCCTCTCCCCGGCACTGCCGCTGGCGTACGCTGGAAGCGCTACGCTACGCTGCGCTACGCTACGCTACGCTGCCGCAAAGTATAAACGCAGCCTATTATTGGCGCATGAGTTGGCTGCGAGTGAGTGTGCAGGCCGGGTGCTCATTCAAATGCGGTGCGCTCCTGAAGGAATTTTGCTCGCGTGGCGCATCTGATGAGCGCCTAACACTTTTCAAGTGTCGAACCTGAACACTTCAAATATACAGCTCTGTGTGTCCGCACCCGCTGCAGTCTTGTTCGCTGCAGCTGTCAGGAGCTGGGTTTGACGCGGAGCCAGCCCGTTTTCCATCAGTTGTGATCGCTTGCCGCTCCCACAGTTGGTGGAGAACGGGGTGGCGCCGCGGCGAACCAGGCCCCTCGAAATGCCCCAGAATTCGCAGCAAAAACGACTGAATGTGTGGGACTTGATTAATGAAAAAAAAACGCTAAGGAAACCACT